ATTTTTAAAGTAAATATAGTTATTAAAAAACTGTTGCACAACTTTTGAAAAAAGTTAGGCCCTAAAACTCAGGCCCCTTACCCTGCATTGCGGGGTTTTGCTAAATGGCACTTCCGCCACATAACTTTTGGTTAGTTACATAACAAGCGTATTTTGTGTGAATAGTTCAGCGCTAGAGATTTTACAAGTTTTTATTCCAACTTTTAAAAAATGGACTCGGTGCCGAGTACCTGGACTTGGACCCGGTTTTATCAGCCGGGTACCCGGAATCGGAGACTTGGCATAAACTGGTTCCGGCACATCTCTACTCTTTCATACGGAAGCCTACATACCAGGCTCCATGGAGGAGAGTTGGTATGGAGGCTTCCATATCATACATCTGATTGCATTTATACTAAAATTTATATTAACATATTTTATGTTTAGGAGGTAATTCAACAATGGAAAGAAACATATAAAAAAGAAATTATTTTCTATTATAAAAAGTAGTTTTTATTTTAAAAGTTTTTCTGTAGGTAAATTTCGAATGTAATTCCATTTGATTGCACATGCAAATTAAAAACTACTTTAAACTGTTGTACTACTTTGTAGATAACGCTTCGATAAAACTTTATGTTATGTTAATATTAAAAATTAGAAAATATTCCTCAAACATTTAATTAAGCAAGTATTTTATCTGAAAGTAACTTAGTAACAATACTAGTTTCTTATTAAAAAGTGTATTTCTGAATATGCGATAAAATAATTGAAAAACTTTTCTAGTGACAAATTTCTAAATAAAAAAAAAAGGATAAAAGTATATAATAAAATTGTACCTCGATAGTTTTTATTACAAATTTTGAACTTTTTCCGTTAACAAAAAATTATAATTGCGGTTGTTTATACTTTGTTTACAAATGTAAAAAAATTGTAGAAAGTTCTTCGTAACTCTATCAAGTACGATATTAACACTCCTTTGTAATTATTAATTAACTTGATAATAGTAATACGTAACCAGTTGTAATACTTAAAGTATTATATAAAGTATTAGGGCTAATGACAAAAAATTGTTGTTAGCCGTTCATTTAGTTTTAGGACTGTCATCGTAAGTAATTTTATAAATACAAAGGAATACAAATAAAAACAAATTGAAAAAAGAGGGACAATTTTTTCTATGAAATAATGTTAGACATTGAAAATGTTGTAATTAAAGATATGTGCAGTTTTTAGTTTTTGCGCATTAGTTTGGGTGCCCATACCGGTAAAATGGTATGAGATTACGGCTTGATACAGCACTGATATATATATATATATATATATATATATATATATATATATATATATATATATATATATATATATATATATATTATTTAGTACCAATGGATAACATTATCCATTGATACTAAATATTGAATTATTTCCAATTTAGTTCGCTAAGTTTATTTACAAATGTAAAAATATATAAACTTGAAGAAATTGAAATAAAAGGAGCTAAAAATTAAATAAAAGTTGCTTTGACATTTTTTTTTCAAAACTTAAAAAATTAATATCATATTAAGTATTTAATAATGAGTTAATAAAAATATCATATTATTGGCGTTGTTAAACGCACAATAAAAGCTAAAAACTATAATAAACATATTATTTCTATATATTCTATTAGATTATATATATTTCAGCAAAACTTAAAAATTTTTTTAAAAACTTTTAAAAGTGCAAATAAGCATTATTTCACATTAAGAAAAATAAGAAAATTAAAAAAAAAAAAAGATGCTAAAAAAAACTTAATGTTTAAGCATTAAGTTAAAAATTTTGTTTTATTTTTCATCTTTTAAAATATTGCAAATGTATTCATTTTAACTAAAATTTTGCATGCTTTTATTAACGCATGCAAAAAACTATACTAAAATGTAATTACTTTTTTGATAGTGTACCTTGTTATTTTTCTTATAGTAAGGCTATTGAAAGAAGTAATCATGTTTTAGCATAGTTTCTATTAAATTCTTTAAAATGTGTTTTAGAATGTTTTATTCCAGCTAATGCCTGTATGTACATATATATTAAAAGTAAAAAAATTGTAAAAATAAGCTTCTTTTCACTTAATGGTAACAAAACATTTGATCTTAAGGAGATAATAAAGGAGACACAATTTGTTGGAGACAGATGAAAGATATTAGCACAAGGATTATTAAAAAAATCACGGAAATCCTAATCAATCTTAAGGTAATAGAAGTGTGGTGATAACTTGAATTATGATAGAAATCATAACATGATCTGAACTACCTAGAGAAGAACAAAGAAATAAGCAACATGCTCTGGTCAGAAACAAGACTCGAATTGAAGACGAGAGAACAAAGTTATCTGGAAAATGAGTATACTCTCTGAGTAAGTGATTTAGAAAAAGAAAAAAATTTAAAAATTTACTGTCTGCAAGGTCAGCAGTGCTAAAGCCAAGTTATTCAGTGTGTTGAGCATTAAAGTCACCAATAACAACAACATTTGCTGAGAGATAATGAGGAAGTGCTTGGTCAAAATTATCATAAACAACATCACAAAGAAAAGTGGTGAACTGAAGAGGTGCCAAGTGGAATTATTACAAATCAAAGGATATTAGCCATCAACACTCCCCAAAAGTGCAACAGTTGAATGTAAATTAGTCTCACAAGGAGTAAGTAGGTATGTTGAGTTTTGAAAAAAGCTAGATTCAAAAATAAAAAGTTTCTCCAAAGACCACTAATATTTGTAAAAGATAAATAGATACATATATAGGTTAACAAAAAGAAAAAGATACATCTAAATACATCTAGACAAACAAATGTATTTAATTTAGAATTTTTTTTTCTTTTGCTTAAGCTGCAGAAACTCTAGCTGAGATAAAGTTGGATATAGTAATTGGTAACTATTTAGTTAGTGCTGAATATGTTGAACCTTCCTAACTGCCAATACAAGAGCAAGTTTCAAAGAAGGTTACAAATCATGTGAGACAAAGTCAATATTTTTTAATCATTATTAAGTGTGATGTTCTAAATTGCTGTAAACTTTGGCAAAGTTCCTGGAAAAAAATGTTTTATTTAACATTTTTCCTGGTCCAGTTGTAATGTTTCATTCTGCTGAGGGAGTTTTTGTTCCTGAGCCAATGGTAGCACAAAATATTCATATACCTTTTCTTCTCTAGCGCTGTGCTTGGGATATATAGGTTCAAAAATTTCAATAGAAGCTTCTTTTGATTTGTACTGTCCATAATTTAGCAAGAAAAAATTGATCAAAGACTGCAGAATTTATTGCACTTCTAAAGCAAGTGTCAAGCGCCACGAATGCATGTTTATAGCATAATCAACACTACCCCTGCAGAAAAGAAAAACAATGATGAAAACTGTTACTCATTGATTAACAGTAAATTTCTGTAATAATTCTGAATGGGTGAATCGCTATTTGATTTAGACCATTAAAATTTAAATTAACTATTAATTAATGAAGACTATTTTAGTTATTAATTTGTTTATATAGTATTAAAACAATGTTTTAAGCACCATAAAATTTTTCATTAATTTGTGATTACTTATATTTTTTTAAACACCCTGCCCTCAAACACAACCAATAATTTAAGGTAAAAAACAAACATCCTCACCAGTTTGTTAATTTTAAAAATTTGTTTTCTGTTTACCAGCTAAAATGCTTAAAGATCAACTATAGAAGCCTTTTTTATTTTTTTTTTTGCAAATGATCTTTGAAATTATTTCAAAATAATGGATTTCTTTGTCACCTTTATATTCAGAGTCGAAAATTTTCAAATGCTAAATTCATTGCTTGCATTTTTTTAGGTGAAATACTTTTCAAAATTTTTAATATCCAGTTTACTCAAGTTTCATAGTTTATTATATTTATCAAAAAAGTTACAGTGCTTATATTTGAGATAAGATGGGCTGATAATGCAATTTTGTTATGTGAAATATTTATATTCAAGAAATAACAACGTGTAATAATGTAATATATTCTCATATTTTATTTATTCTTTAACTAACACAATAAGAATTTTCGTATTTATATAAGATAGACCACAAATGTGTTTTCCTTACGGTAGTTATTCTCGTACTTTATTTAGGATACACCAACATAGGTAGAGGGTATGTAAAAAACTGTGGCATGATCAAAAATTTGTCTCTAGACTAGAAATAGTCAAAACAATTCGTTAATAGCAAACATTGTGCTTTATCATTAAAACCTCCCCTATTCCTAAATAACTAATAAACCTAACCAAGCATGTGGCTTAAACTCAGATGTAACATTTATAAATGCTTTAAACACTTACTTTGATGTGAAAAATAAATATTCCTGTCCATTTATATGGCACCTTAAGTCAAAAAATTAAGGGTAAGTACACTTCCCTTCCTCCTTTACAATCATTTTATAGTGGCGGTAATGGTTTCATTTGAAAAAAAGTTAAATTCAAAACATCTAGTTATTTATTTAAAAACATCTAGTTATTAAGTATTTATTAACTGTGATAAATTAAGAAAACAAGCATTGAGAATTTTTGATTAAGCTAGTGCGTATGTACTTTAGTACACACATGTAAAGTGTTTATACACTTTACGTTACAATAGTGCAGAAATTTAACAACTCGCCCCCACCCCTAACCTCCCATACGCTTTTGTATGCTTTTTGCAGACCCCTCTCTACCTGTGAGCATACATATTTAATGAATGACCACTAATTTGACAAATTTTTCCAATTTTGTCTTTGTGATCAGCATTGAAATGATTGCTGTGATTACATTATGCATAGTGTAAACCTGTAAGTTTCTAATAAACCATATCAATTTATAAAATATTTGTTACCTTGGTTCAATTTCAAGTTTGATTTTAACTTGGATGGCATTACTATTTTTAAAATTAAACAAAGTTATTTATGTCTCATCTTTTTTATCTGTGTGAAGTTTTACAATATTTTATATAAAATTTTTAATATAGTTTTAACAAATTTATTAAGCATTAAGTACTCCTAAATAATTTATTTAGATTTTGAAAGCGTTTTTTAAAGATGTAAAATCATTCGATACCTTTTTATGGCCATTTGCAGTAGCTATATTTGCTATTGGTGGAATGTGTGGAGCATTTATAGGACCACATATTGCAACAAAAGTTGGCAGGTAAAAGTTTTTCATTTGTTAATTGTTTTTTAGAACTCCATATAAACTCCTAATAGATTATATCAAATATATTTAATGTTGCAATCCTTATTTTATGTTGCATTGTCTTTATTTTATTTGTTTTTTTATATTTTTTGCATATTATGAGATTTGCAACCGCTAATTAGGCCGGGTGAATAAAAAAAAATCAATTGGTTTTACTCAGTAAATGGTCAGCTTTATGTGAATAAAAACTTTAGCAATTTTGCTCAAATCTTTATTCATGTAAAGCTGAGCAGTAATTCAGCGTTTTTGGAGTAAATTGCTTAACTTTACATGAATAAAAATTTGAGGGATTTTGCTTAAATTTTTATTCAGACAGGGCTGAACAACTACTCTAAAAATGCTGAGTAAAATAATTTCTTTTTTTTATTAACCCAGCCTATTGTAACAGTAATTTAGACAATATTTTTACAAAGTTTTAATAAGAATCAAAAAAATTTAAATTATTTTTATTATTAAAGAGTTATTTAAGGACAAAAGAAATTCATTTTAAATTATAACAATTATTATTATACTTATCAATATTCTATTTTTTGTTTTTTTCTATTTCAAAAAAGAAATCTTTTATGAAATAGAAAAAAACTTTGTAAGTTTTTTTTGGGACTCTTCATGAAGGAGTCCTATGAAATAAAATGGTAGTCTGAATTCTTAGTTATGCTATTATATATATATATATATATATATATATATATATATATATATATATATATATATATATATATATATATATATATATATTAGGGTGGTCCATAAAACAACTTTTTTGAGAAAAACCTGCTGACACCCCCTAAATGTGTTTTATCTAATGCAAAAACACTAGGTTTAAAAATTTTTTGAACAAAAATTATTTTTAGGGGTAGCTCAAGGCCCTCAAAAATTTGACGGGTCCCTAATATTTTGAAAAAAAAACTTTTTCTAAAGTATGTCAACCTGGTACTCAAAATAAGCAAAATTATATAAAAAATTTAAAAATGATAATAATTTTTTATAAAAATAATTTTTTTAGGTATAAATGCATAAAAACTATTGTTTTTAAGCTGAAAATAAAAAAAGTCAATATTTTCAGGTTTTTTGAGAATAATTTTTTTTAGGCATGTTTTTTATGTAAAATGATTATTATTTTTGAAGTTTTTATACAATATCGCTTCTTTTGAGTACCAGGTTGACATACTTTAGAAAAAGTTTTTTTTTCAAAATATTAGGGACCCGTCAAATTTTTGAGGGCCTTGAGCTACCCCTAAAAATAATTTTTGTTCAAAAAAATTTTAAACCTAGTGTTTTTGCATTAGATAAAACACATTTAGGGGGTGTCAGCAGGTTTTTCTCAAAAAAGTTGTTTTATGGACCACCCTAATCCTAATATATATATATATATATATATATATATATATATATATATATATATATATATATATATATATATATATATATATATATATATATATATATATATATATATATATATATATATATATATATATATATATATATATATATATATATATATATATATATATATATATATATATATATAAAATATAAAGCATTAGTAATTATAAACAATAATTAAAGTAGAAAAGCATCTAGAGAAAATAAAGCGGATATTCAAATATTAAAATCTTGAGGAATTTTTAAAAATCACTTACACAACTTTAAAAAAATGCACTTAATAAAAAGTTAAGCATTATGAAAAACGTCACTAATAGTCTGTATAAAGGTGCGTTTATTTTTAAAATCAACCAATGATAATTTTTATTGGTTGATTTGAAAATTAATGCACGTTTTTACGTATCATTAGCAATGTTTTTCATAATGCTAAATTTTTTATACATTACGTTTTGATAAAGTTATGCTTTTATAAGTTACTTAAGTTTTAAATATTATTTGGATATCCACTATCTTTTTCTAGATGCTTTTCTACTTCAAATAAAATTTGGGAGAGCTTATCTTATTTAAACAAAGAATGAATTATTAAAGTTATAAGTGCGTTATAAAAGTAATAACACTATTATAGTGTTATTACTTTTAGAATGCAGTTAGTCACTAGAGTGTTATTACTTTTGTAATTGTAAGTTTATTGTTTTATTTTTTATAACTTTTTTGCTAACAAATTAAAATTGATCCGCCCCTTAAAAACAAAGAACATGTTTTTGTATAAACTAAAATTTTGAAGACCAGATATTTTTCCAGATTTTGCATTTCGTGATCGCTTAATTCAACTCTTGTTGTTATATAAATATATTTTACATTTATATTCATAATTTATATTTTTGCTTTCCTCTTTAAAAAAAGTTAAAAGAAAATCATTCTTTTTATTGTAGACTTAAAACTTTTTTTTTTTTACTTCGCCCTATCTAATTTTGTTGCTGAATGTAACAACCATTTTAAAAGAAACAAAAATAAAAACAGTACATAAAGTATTTAAATTATTAATTTTATTTTTTTCTATTCAAATTTATTTTTATTTCCTATTTTGTTAGTTTTGCTTTTTTTGTTTTTTAAAATTTTTCCATCATGATTAATATTATAAAACTTGCAAATGGCCGTGATCAAGTTGTCTAAAATAAAATCTCTCGCGTGGTTTGTTGTCTAAAATAAAATACTCTTGCATACAAGACGAAAAACTGCACACTTTTCCTGGGAAGGCTTGATATATTTATAAATATATATATTTATATATATATATTATATGTATAAATATATATATATATTTTATATATAATATATATGTATATACATATATATATATATATTTATTAGGCATATGATTTTTTTTCAATCAAGATTCCTGGGGTGGCAAATGATGAACTTTTATCTAAATATAGTAAATATGACTTAATTTTTGTTTAAATTTTAAAAAACCTGGCGCACCCTTAAAGAAATAGCTACAATGCTTAATTCACACAAGTTATATATTGTAAAACAGAAATTTGAAACATCCATAAGAATATATGCTTACTTTAGTCACTGTTGAGTGTTCACAATTGTAAATTTGAATTTAAGAATTTAGCATAAAGGTACTTGTCACTTTTGCAGGTAGTGTAAATGTCAATGACTGAAGGCTGATTTACCCAATGCATTTGGAAACACTTTGTTGCTTTCTGGTAATCAAATTCTGAAACAGCAGAATACAATTCTTCAAAACTGTGTTCAGTGAATTGCTTATTAGAGAACCACGCTGATGCCCATACAGTTGATATAAAGTTGCAGATATTGCTCAGCTGCTGACGATGTTCTTCCAAAAGAAAATAAGCTAGTAGAGTGTATGTTGCTCTAGAGTTCCATCTCGCATTATGAAGTGAAGGAAGTTTTCGCCACTTGATTTTTGGAAATTTAGCACATTTCTTGTACACTTTGTAAGCCTCGCAAAGTTCTAATAGAAACTTGAAATCACTCCTCCATCCAGCATTTTCAAAAGCAGGTACTTCGACTTCACCTGTATATTTCGTCTGAAGGTTCTCATACTGACTGCAAATGTTATCAACAAAATCATAGTTTATATCTGGTTTCTGTGAAACAGTTGGAACACAGAAGTCAAGTAAATGTTGAAGAACCAAGTCAAGGATGTGTTGTTGACACCCAAAGTACTGCGGTCTAATAATACATTTTCTTTCGAATTCTTTATAAAGCCGAGCAATTATTCCATTTCTGCTACCAGTGTTGACACTATTGTATTGCACACAACTATTTTATTAATCCTCCACGCATCAAAGTCATCTAAGAGCTTCTTCAATCCAGAAAAAATGTTTGCAGCCGAACCAGATTCACATATGATGATACCTAAATTCAATCTCCTTGAAGGACTTAACAAGCAAACAACTTCATATTCTTTGATGGCAGTTTCTTCCCATTGAAATGCAAACAGAAATAATTTTCCTACTGTGGAATACTTTTTATTTCAGCAGCCTTTCTAATTCCATCTCTGACCACTCTTTTCCATATTCTAGTTTTTGATGGTGTGGGTAACTTAGCAGAACATTCAGCAGCTAGACTAGAACAGACTCTGGATGATTGTCTTGTAGATAGAGAATATTTGGTAACCAGATTTGCAGCAGCCTTGTTTTTTTTATATTTTTTCTTTTTTGTTTCCACTTTAGGTATAAAGTCATCACCAGGTGATATTTCAGCATCAGTTTCTTGCACAGATTCATCTGAAGTTACCATGACTTGTTTCTCAACTGAAGATTGCTTAACTTTTAACTTTCGTTAGACGGATGAATTGTTGAGACTGGTGCAAGCTTCGCAGTTGTGTATCCAACAGTACCATGAGATTCAATCTGATGTTGGTAAAGTTATTTGTCTTCAGAGGACAACCAATTTCCTTCAGTTTTGGTTATATCAAAGAGGTTTGCTAATTCCTCCAGAAATCTCTTACCCTTTTTCTTTCTGTATCTCACATATGCATCAAATTGATTTGCAATTTTTGGGTGGATTTATTGCATTGATATGACAGGAAAATTAAATTTATCCCAAAGTAAATTCAGTTCCTTTGCCAGAGTTTCTATTCTTATTTTCTTCTCCTTCATTTTATCATGTAATCCCAAAAAGCGCCCAACAATGTCCCTGTTAAGTGGCATTTTGCAGAGTTCATTTAATTTAGTAACTCGCAAAGGTATTTCTGAACGCCTGACAACTTTGCTTATCATATTCTGCTGCCATACATTGGAGCTTTTATTAACTAGGTTACGTAATAGTTTAGACATGTCTTTGATAAACTAAATGAAATCTAAACTTTTTCTGTCAGAATAGCTTCTACAATAAAACAACAAAGCAATTAGTCAAAAGCAGATAAGAAAAATCGAAGCCAAACTACTAGAAACTCTACTTTTAATATAAAATTTTGAAAGTGTAAGCCTATTGGTTAAAGGCAGATTGTTAAAACTATATTTAACTTTAATTAGCAATAAGAAGCTAACATTTAAGGTATAAAAAATTGCCTACATTTAGCACAATATAAT